CTCTTAAGTGTATGTGGCCTTTCTGGTTTGAAATCGATGACCTCAAATCTCATGAAAAGACAGCATTACGTATTGTTCTGTTATTGGCACATTACTATATTGCTGATTATCTAGCAGACGGTCAACTCAAGAGGCTCCTTGAAGCAAAGGTGAATTAGAAGACACATTCCTCTAACTGTAGAGAAATTGCCCAGTTGAAATATGTTGGATCTACTAAAGGAGGTCCTTGGAAAAAGAACGACATTCTTCTCCATTTGATCTGTCATTAGTACCATTATTATTATTATTATTTTTATTATTATTATTATTATTATTATTAATTGATTGATTCTCAGTACCAACCACAGAGGCTAAGAATATATAGCTGTTTAATAATTTTTAATGAATGAATAAATGAAATTTATTATAATGAATGCTTTAAATAGGAGATTTAAAGTAATATTTTTACTTACAAGTCAATTAAGGTAAACAGCTGTGAATTCAATTCAGTGTATAAATGTTAGGTTTTAATTTGTTAAGAAGACTGACAAGTAACTTGACAATGCATTTTATGCATTAATATATGCATTAATAAAAGTTCTCATTTAAATCTAAGAACATCTTACAATGTGAGTGAGGAACATATTATCCTTTTTCCACAGATGAGGTTTCTCTATGGTCAAATTGCTAAGTGACAGCTAGGATTTAAATATAGAGCTTCTAATTCCAAAGACAACTCCATTTACCATACGAGAACAATCTGATCATAATTACTTGAATGAATTTTCAAATACACTGATCAATTCTCACATCTGCATTTCCCCAGGCACAGAATTTTTACCATCTGTCCTGGCTTGTGCTGTAACATATATTTACATGTGAAAAATGGTAAATGACTGAGAATAAAATAACAAAGATTCAGGCAAAGTAAACTTCATATGTAATTAAGAATACACTCAGAAACCTCTAAAGTACTTGTAAATAAAGTAATTCTGATATTCGCTTTCAAACAGGTTGACAAGAAAGATGTTCCTCATATTTTTCCAAATAAAATTATTTAAGAAAATGTTTCAACACATTTTAAGCAATTGGAAGAATTTTGATTGATATTTTCTCCTTGAATATTTTCATACATTATTTCCATTCTACTAAAATAAGATGGAAGTAAATTATGCAAAAATAGAGATAATTGAGGTCCCAAAACTGTAGGAATACATGGCAATATATTAATTACTTTATGATTAATACTAAGATACTAAATAAAGTTTTCCATTGACAAAGTTTTTCAAAAAGGAATGAGAGAGATGAGACAGTAAATACAGGTAGAATGTAGGTTGGAGACAGGGAAGGTTTTCAATACGTTTAAATGCTGACAATATAAAACCATGAATGAAGCAGATATTATATAATTTAAAAGATCACCCACAACAAGTTTAATTATTCATCATAATGAGTGAAATCTGAGTAAAGAGAAACAGGTTTATGCATATCTGCAGTGATATACATAACTAGAAAAAGAGGAGGATTAAAAGTAAGAATCAAGCATGAGAAAATAGAGAATTCAAAGGAAAAGCAGGAGAGAAAGCATTGAGAAGATTTGGGAAATTCTCCAAGCAGGTTAGGAGGAATTAAATTTATGAAACAGATTAGCAATGCCCGTGCTTCCCTTCCATTTCTGTATCCTCCCATCTCAAACGCACGTATGGGTGGTGAGGTTCTCTGAAGTCTACATCAGGAGGGGGTGGACACCTCAAACTTGTTTGCTTTCAGCTAAATGAGCCTATGATTCTGTCTTAAAAAACAAGAGCAATAAACAGTTTTTCCACTCAAATGCCAAGTACACAGTTATTTCACAAACGGGACTATTTGGAACACAGATGATATACCCACGTTTTTCTTTGCTTTTCCGTGACTGAGCCCCTTAATTTTAAGTACTCTGGGTTTTTTTGAATATCTGTTGAAAGACTCATTTAGTAATTTTCTCATGCTTTTCCAGCTTATCATTATTCATTAACATACAATTTTTTGTAAGAAAGTTTCACAATTTCTATACATTCAATTCTTGAAAAATGTGTGTAAATTCATCTAAACAACTCTCCGTTTTTCCAAGTTTTCTTTTCTTTTTTTCTTCATTTCTTAGAGAATTATTTCCACAACATTTTAAGCCTCACACAAGGCTTTGGCTCACAATAAAAATGAATTCACATTTTTAGACTATTGTCTTCCAATTCATGAGTATGGTAGATCTCTCTGTTTTACGAGGTCATTTTTAACTTTGCTTAATAATTGTGATAGGCAGAACGACAACCCCCAAAAATATCTCTGCCTTAAACCCCAGAGCCTAAAAATATGTTATCCTTTGTAGCAAAAGAGACTTTGCATATGTGATTGAGATTAAGGACCTTAAAATGGTGAGTTTATCATGAATTATCCAGGTGAGCCAAATTTAATTACATAATCCTGACAAGTAAAAGAGGAGGGCAGAACAGTGGGCCAGAGAGATATGACACCAAAAGGACTCTATGGTTTTGAACATGGAGGAAGGGGGCCGTGAACCAAAGAAAGTGGCAGACTTGAAAAGCTAGCAACAGCTCTTGGTTTACAGCCAAAAGAAAATGGGCCCCTCAGTCTTAGAACCACAAGGAACTAAATTCTACCAACAACCCAAATGAGCAGGAAACAGATTTTCCTCTAGAGACTTAAGAAAGGAATGAAGACTTGACACCTTGGTTTTAGTCTGGTGAGACATGTACCAGATTTCTGACTTTAAGAACTATAATATAATAATTTTTTTAAACCACTGAGTTTACAGTAATTTGTTATAGCAGAATAGAAAGCGAATACAATACAGGTTTATAGTTTTCAGTGCAGACCTAGAACATATCATTAGATTTGATAAGTGTTTTGTGGAAAAACATGTTTGTCTGCAAATAGAGTTTTCTTTCTTTCTTTCCAGTCTTGTATTTCTTTTTTCATTCCTTACTGCCCCGGCTAGGACATCAAGTATAATATTGTGTAGAAGCAGTGATCAGGCACCTATTGTTATGCAGCAATAGATAAATAAGACACGTTTTGGTACCTGGAAATGGGGTGCTGCTGTAACAAATACATAAAAATGTAGCTTTGGAACAAGGCAGTGAACCGAGGCTTACAGGATATTAAGAAGCATGTTAGAGAAATTCTAAATTGCCTTGAACAGACTCTTGGTAGAAATATAGACTTTAAGGACACTACCAGTGATGGGTCAGAAAGACGTGAGGACCAAGTTATTGGAAACTAAAGGAAGGTATCTTTGTCTCCTGATGCCATTGGGAAAGCATAAAATGTGCATAATGAACTGGATGATCCAGCTAAGAAAATTTCCCAAAAAACTTAAAAGAATGCCTAGTTTCCTCTTGCTGCTTACAATAAAATGCAAAAGGACGGAAATACATTATGAATTGAAGGACAGACTGTTAAAAGAAGACAGGATTTGGTTGTTTGGAAAATTCTCAGCCCCTCCAGACAGCAAGATATGCTAAACTTATGAAATGGCTTCCAAGCAAAGTTAAAGACAAGGCACTGTCAGGAAAATATGTCTAGGTATAAAGCCAAGGGTAGAACTCTAAAATTTTTACTGAGACCTCAGAAAGCACAAAAGTACTGCAAAGTACTGTTCACTCACACAAAGAGCCTTTTAAAAGATTGTGTGTGTCTCACAGATCTTCTCAATCAAACAATAAGACCTCTAGGAAGCTTTAGGGTGTTGTCCCTCAGCCATCCCAGCAGGAAATCAAAGTAGGGTTGGCTTATCTTAAAGACTTTGTGGGTGATACTCTTACTTAAAAGAGTGAATCCTAATGAGATTCACAAGAGACTCATAAAATTTTTGAGAAAAGTATATTAGCAAAACATTGCCAGCTTGACCTGAAAAAGACAGAACAATCGTTCATGCGTAAAGGGAGAATGGACTGAAGCACCAGCCTTAAACAGCCATTACTGTTTGCAGTTAAATTTTAAGCTAATAGTCCCAATGAGATGGGTGGATGAGAAACCCAGTTTTTAAGGCCCAGGACAGGATAGAGAGATCTGCCTAGATAACTCTGAAATTTTAGTTGCGTTAACCATCCTACCTGTATCTATTTTAAAAAGTAGCATCTCTAGAAAACAGCACTCTTTATAAAGATTATTAGTCTTTACAAAATGTGCCTGGGCCTATGTTAGAGAACATCAAGACAAAATTTTTTCAATGATCTCCAAAGTCTAGTCTGCTGCTGTTGTTGATTAGATTTGTTTTCTAATTCAAATTCATCTAGGTCTCAGACTCCTCCTACTTTAAAATCTCCAGTGTTCTCTTGTGTGCCTGAGCTGTGGATTGCCTGATTACTAGATGCTCTAAGTAGCGATTTCTTGTTTGGGTTCTCCAGACTAGTGTTGAAAGCAAGAGCACTGGTTCCCCTCAGCCACAAACGGCCCACAGGCATTTTGATTCTTGGTAAACTAGTATTTATTCAAATAAAAGTAGGGAAATAATTATTCTGTGTGTTATGGAATTGTATGTACATTAGAATGCGCTGGAAATTGCAGGGCCCTCACCGGGCTTTGCTGGCTTTTGCTGAATCTCTTATCAGTGCCTCCAGACCCACTCTCCACCTTCTGCTCTCTGCTCTCTTCCCTGGGATGCTCACCGTGTGAAGTGACTCACTACACTCCTTGCCTTCTTACTTCTTGTTGGATTCAGCTAATTAGCAAGCACTAGCAGGGAATTAAGGGAGGAACTCACTCCCTGATTATCTCATGAGTTTGGAGATGAAATAAGAATGGGTGAATGGATGATTACCTAGGTAAAGAGGACAGGACAAGAAAAGAGTAGGTATTGGAAAAACATATTAACATAGAACCAGTTACTGCTACACAATTCTTCTGTCAAGAGAAATGTAAGCATACAGGAGTTAATAAAATGAACTCTAGATTTATCTTTAAAAAAATCTGTATACTATTATTAAGTCATTATACATAAAGTCACGGATTTTGGCAAAATAATGGATTTTTTTATTTATTAAAATTTAAAGTAAATTTTACTTTACTATCAATAAATTCAACTTTACTTCAATATTGTTGAATTAAGAACCCAAATAATTCCAAAAATCTATAACTGAAATATGGTGTTTCAGTATTTCAGAAAAAGTACCATATTGAGAGTAAAAGTATACATGTTTGAACTCTGACATTTATTCATTCAACAAACATTTACTTGCTTAAACTGTAAATTATTGGGGGGAATCATGTTTGATCAGTTCTTGAAAATGCCATCATTTTGAGGTTGATCTTGGTGATAATGCAGAGTTGAATGGTGATAACTGTAAGCAAAGAAACATAAGCATTATCAGATAATTACAAATGCAAAAGATAAAAAACATCGCACACTGAAATTAATTGAAATAAAAATATTTTTCTAGAATTTTTATATGCACATATAATAAAGATATATCTATTTAATACATTTTACTATTCCTCAAATGACACAATATCTGCAAATTCTCACCTATTTCTGAATTGCTGCTATTTGGAATTAATCTAAGAATACAATTTCTATTTATTCAACCACTCTTATCCTTCTTTCAAAAATATATACGACATATTTATTTTCCTTTCAAATTTTCTGCTAGGCAATAATTTTACACTACCTTGATTTTCTAAACATTATATTTTAAGACAGATGGGCAAGTTGGTCTGAAACTCCCTTCTCCAATTACTGGATGTGAACCATGTGTCAGCCATTATTCTCCTACTTTTTTCAAGACAATCCAACATAAATATATCTAAGGTCATGTTAATACCCAAGAATTTGATAGTCATATGTCCAAGTATTTAATATTTTATTTAATTTCAATAAGCATTTAAATGTGAAATGATTAATAATCTCTTTCCTCCATATCAATAACATGTTAACTGTGTATAATTCATTTTATTGATGATCACAGAAGCTTAGTCTACTTTTCTAAAACTTCCTGAATATCCTTGAGTTCACATTGGAGAAGGCATGAATAATTTTTACATAAACATAGAGATTATAATGTTACATGATAAAATTTTCATATAAGGATCTTCCTTACAAAATTGTTAAGTATAAACTCAAATTTAGGGAATATGCAAAGTCCTTAGCCTCCAAAGTCCTTTCTACTATATTTTAATATTCAATCAAATAAAATCCATAAATTTGAACACCTAAAATAATATTGACTTCATAAAGGAGAGTGTTATGATTAGTGTTCCACAGTAATGATAAACATAAAAGAGAAAGTAGGCAAGTCTTATTATCAAATCACCACATCAGTCCTAAGTATATATAATTTTATTGACTATAAAGTGATTATCTCAGTTCTCAGATAAGACAATATTGTGTATTATTATTGCACAGTCTTTATTATGATACTGATTACCACGCAGGCACCAGTGATTCAAGTGCAGCCACATCCTGACTTCTGATCTTCACGAGTTTCTTGGAAGAAAAGGTGAATGAAGAAAGTTTGTCCAAAAGAAAGTTAAGTGGAAGTTCACTTGCTCTGTTAACCACATATCAGTGGATCAACACTCTTTTCTGTTTGTGTTGTATCTCTTTCCAATAAATCTGTAGCCACTCAAGGCAGGAACTGGGTCTGTCTTGTTCCTGCTGAATTCACAGTGCCTTCTATAGAGAGGATGTCCATTAAGTATCGTTTGAATGAATGAATAAATCAAAGTTGTTCTTCCAAATCCAATAATGCTGAGATTAAAATTTATATTAAATATATCTATCAATAATAAGTTATTAGGAAAATTCAATACACAAATAAGTTAAACTGTGAACAATATTGTCACAGAGTCCTACAGAGTTTAAGAAGTAAATGAATATTCCAATTTAATTCTAACTCACTCAGTTAAATAGAACAGAGATGATTCTCATTTTATAGATGAGAAAATGGCATTTACAAATAAGTTTACCAAGCTCATCTAGTAAAAGAATGACAGAGCTAGGAGTTAACCCTAGGCCTTCTGATTCCAAGTTCAGTGCTCTTTTTACCATTCTAGAATTGCCTTTAAAACATTTTTGCATTTTTTTCCCAAATACACTGGTGATTTCTTACAGCTGTATTCGTTCAGAATCAGCACTTCTGCCGTTTGTTCTGGTATGTGATTTAACATAGATGAATATGTAAAAATAGTAAATAAATTAGTATAAAATTAATTTTAAAAAGCATGCCAAATGGAAATTATCTACATTTCTCATTGCATAGTCATAACAACTAAAAAAGTATTCAGAAAGTAGATTACTAGATAATTTAATGTGAGCTTTCCAAAATTTGGGGAATTCTAAGTCCAAAGATTTGAGGGGGGTGTGGTGGGACAGACATATTTCACAAATTTCCATAACATGGACACTGAGTTTATGTGCTTAAATGTGTCTTAGCTCAATGGAGGAAAGATTATTTATGTCCTCTTATTACATTCTTTCAGACATTTATCTTCAATTCCATTAAACTTTGAAAGATTGAAGCAAACTATAAAAATGAAGTTAATCAAATTCCAAGAATTTGGGAACATTTTATAATCTATAAACTATTCTATAACTGCAAATAAGACACAACTATAGTTTTTTAAAAGTGAGTGATATACATAGAAAGAAAAGTACTAATTTGTTAATTTTTTAACCATCAGATTTTATCATTACCTCTTGCAAGTAAAAGATATGATAGAGTTCTCAATGCTCCGGGGACAGAAAAATCCAAAGGGCAAATGTTTAAAGATTAAACCGAAATAATCCTACATATGCAATTTTTTTCCCTAGCACCCATTCCCTACCACAACCAATAGACAAAAAGTAGGAGGTACAAAAGGAAGGCACAGTGGGCTATTAGATGGAAGAACCATTCAACTAGTTCTCTTTACATCTGCAGGTATGAAGTCATAGAGGCACTGGCCAGGTCAAGAAGAATCAAGTCCTGACCAAGATCCAAAGGAGACACCCCTCTCAAGGTATTGTGTGGATAATGACAATACTTCCAGGGCACTTTTACTCCAGAATCATCTTTTTTCTATTAACACCTAGTTTCTTAATCAAGAAGTGGCCAGGGGGCACTAATGAGTTCAACTTTGGACAGGCTGAGTTAAACGCTCCATGCTAACAACCAAGCGGAGATGTCCACAAAAGCTGGATATAAGGGTCTCGATCGATAAACTTAGAAGTCAGCTTACAGGTGAATGCCGTTTCCAAGGAGATGCAGGAGATCACACAGGGACATTGCTACAGAGTGAGGGAAAAATAGCGATGACGCCAGAAACCTAATGTGGGTAGAGAAGGAAGAAAACCCATGAACGAACCTAAAAAAGAACTTCAGAGAGGTATGAAGAGATCCAGGATAAGGTGGTTTCACAAAAGCCAAGCAAAGAGGGAAGGACTCCTTGTCAAACGCTAGAGAGATTGCCATCCTGTAAGACAAGAATTACATTGACAATAAACACATTATCGAACTGGATTGGAGTTGTTCCAATATGTAGGCAGAATAAAAAGCCTGCTTGCTTAAACATATCTGGCTAGCTATGCTTTACTCTAAACAATACATCTAACTGGATACGTTTTACTCTAAAATAGAATTATGAGCTGTCAGGAAAATAAAAGAGTGGTTCTGGGGGCAGGTGGAGGGCATATAGAATGGAATTAATTTCATATAAGAAATAGAAAATAGCAATTTTAAAACAAGTAGGTGATATTTATAGGACTGTAGGAATTAATTTTATATTTCTCAACATTTTTTCTAGGTCCTAATTTACAATATTAAACTTCTCACCTTAACTTTCCAATACTGCCTCAAGAATTGATTGCAATAGCACATCAGAAATTAGACTATTCTAGAAATTCTGCTTCTTTCATTCTCTCACTTCTTAGAAGTGTTCATTTTTACTTCTTCAGCTTTTGTTCAATAAATCATTTTGAAAACCATTTGTTCCCTGCATCCATTTCTATCACTGTGATACATTTGGAAATGAATTTAAAAATTAATATGCTTAGCCTTCTAAAAAGCTCCTAATAATAAGTAATACTTAAATACAAGGTTGACCTGGACCTTAATGTTCCCCTACTCTTGACTTAACTTTGAACAGGTTTCTTCCTGAATCTAGGCTCCTGGCATCTTAGAACACTTGTTTAGAAAATTTACAGTTGTAAATTCTTTCTCTACCCCTTTGAGATGTAAATCTAAAAGCCTCTCTCCAACTTTACAACCCAGGAATGTCTTTATTAAAGACCTGGGAGCCAAGGAAGATAGTACCCCTTTCTCCCAGTTTCTGTGGGAGGGGAGGAACCTAACCTGGGTAAACACAAATTAGCAAACAACAGATGGTCTGATCACAGAGAAAAACATCTATGAACTCAAGAATTACCCAATGCGCTCAACACATCCTATTGATCAGCATCCCCGTAACATCCTCCAGTACTTTTCCACTAGCACGCCCCAGCACAGAAAACCTCTCCTTTTGTTTTAGCAGAGTTGACTATTACAATAGTCTTGAATGAAGTCTTCCTTGCCTGTTTAACTTTGTCCTGCAATTTTTGCTTTGACAAGGTGTGGAATGCAGAAATTATAAATAAATAAAGGGTGGGTTAAAACTCCCATCAGCCAAGACACAAGAAAATGTCAAAGGAATGAAAACAGAGGGTCATCCTCAATAACACACAGTCATGCATCACTTAACACAACTTACCAAGAAATGAGTCATTAAGCGATTTCATCATTGTGTGAACATCATAGTGTACTTAGGCAAACCTAGATGGTATAGCCTACTACACACCTAGGCTATACAGCATTAATCTTATGGGACCTCCATCATATATGCCGTCTGTCATTGACTGAAACATCATTATGTGGTGCATGACTGTAATTTGAAACGTCCTTCCCATTTTGCCAACTTTTAAGACCATGGAAAATATATATTAAATTTTTGAGATGGAGAAATTCTAAATTAAGTATAATAAATATACTTTTAAGTGTATAGCAGACTTCGGAAGAAAAAAAAAACTAAGGGAAACCCCCACAATTCAAAAATAAAATGGAAATGAAATCCAGGGAGGGGAAGACGTGTTTCAATTCTGAGGCTGCCCTGAAGGATGTAGTTGGTCTCGGTAATCCAGGAGCTTGAATTTTAAAACCCATATGAAGACAGAAAAATAGGCATTGAGCCCACTCCAGACAAACAGTTGGAACAGTCTCTCTCCACATGAACCCGGGACTCTCAGAAAGCCACGGACTCAAAAAATTTTGATCACAGGCAAAGGGAAACGAGAAACAATGTGCTATATTCATTTGAGTCCGAAAGATTAAAAAGAATTTAAGAGACATGGGGCATAGACTGAGAATGCCTTTTCCCTTCAAATAAAATAATAAAGACAAAGGAACAGAGGTGATACTCAAAGGCATAAGGACCAAGAACAAGTCATATTATTCACATTTTTATTAAAATAACAAACATGTAGACAATTTTTATAAAGGAACCTTCATGAATCTTGAGCTGATCTTCCCACTGAGCAGGATTTAAGTATTAATCACACTGTTGAAGCCACTGGACCAAGCCTGACCCAGGGACACCCGCTTCACAAATAAATCAACATCACAGGAATAATATGGACACCCTGGAGGCTGAAGTATTGCCCAGCTTGTCTGCATATCTAAAGTACTCTCAAGGTTAGCATTTATATTCCAAAACAGTACCAATAATAATAGCTGACAATTACTGAGTGCTAGTACGTGCTAAGCACTTTATATGTTCATTGAGTCCCATTAAATCTTAGTAACAACCCTGTGAATTTGGTTCTATTGTTAGATCCTTTTTAGAGACAAGAAAAATGAGGCCTGGGCAGGTTAAGTGTTTTGCTCAAAGTCAAAGAGCCAGAAAGCAATAGATCTCACATTTACAAAATTCCATCTAGAATTAACATAAAATAAATGAGTTAACACACGACTAATTTAATTGCAGGTAACATCTTTGGCATAGAAAAGCTGGCTCAGAGCATGAGAAGAAGTTGGAAATCCACTGAAAGAAATAAGCCTATAAACTAAGGTATTTTCATTCCATAATCCACGGCAGCATGGCTCAGAGGATTATAATGAACATTGGATATTTTCCTTCCACCAAAGGCCTAAAAAAGACAGCTGAATGTAAAAGAAAGTGCTTCAGGAAAAAATGAAACAGCATTAGGAAATTTTACTTAGAAATCCCATTTCCTGAAAATCTGATAAACTTAGATGACTGTCTTTGGGAATATCAATATCAATACCCAGGGTACTGAAGGGAGATCATCTGACCCCAGGACCTATTCAGTATAACAGAAGGGAACAGTACTCCTTTTCTAGTATTTAAACATGCAGGAATTATTTCTATTAAGTTCCCATCTAAATCACACACGAAAAGGAACATGTTGTAACACTCATTCCTGAATTATAGAAATTCACATCTAGCCCTTGTTGGCAGGGACATTTAAAAAAGGAGGCACAACCACAAGAGCCAATCCAATTGATTTTTGAAAGGGAGTATACCATGTAACCCACCACTACCTAGATGACGAAATAAAACATAATAAGCACACCAAAGTCTCCCACATGCTCCCTTCTAGTCATTGTCCTTGACAAAAAGGTAACCCCCATTTCTGACATTCATCACTTCATTCTTGAGCTGCGGATTCCCACTTCCAATTGCTTTGTGAACTGAAAATATCTGTCTAGATACCATGGAAGTATCTCAAATGAATATGTTATCTTTGCCTCCCACAGCCTTCTCTCCCTATGGTCTTCATCTCTGTTATCATTTATCATCCACCAGTTGCCCAGGTTACAAATCTTAATATTATCTTCAACTCTTATTAATCCTTACCGTATCCTATTGGTTCTGTCCCGTTTATTTTGTTGTCTCTTTGTAAGTGATACTTTCTTTCACACATCCTTATACTTTACAGAGCCTTATGACCTCTGATCTAGACTGGGGTTAATAGTCTGCAAACTAGTCTCCCTGCTTCTAATTACTCTCATTCCTCTTCCTCGTTAAGGCCAAGAACAAGTGGAATATTCAAGGTACCACCACAAGGTAACATGGCTGGAACAGAGTAAGCTATAGAGAAAGCAGAAAATGAGCTCTGGGAGGTAATGGAGGACAATATTCAGTAGGGCCTTTAAGACTTTAGCTTTATTTTTAGTAAGATAAACAGTCACAGGAGGCTTTGAGCAGAAAAGTGGCACGATCTGACTAATATTTAAAATGAACACTATAACTGCCTCTAATGATAATGGGAAGTGGAAGCAGGAAACTAGTTAAAATATGAAAGCAGTAATCAAGGTGGCAGTTGATGAAAGCTTGGATCAAGGTGGTAGTGGTACAGCTGGTGAAAAGTCATCAGGTCCTCGATATATTTTTAAGGCAGAACCATAATATTTGCTCAAGAATTGGATGTTGGGTATAAAACAGAATGAATAGTCAAAGATGTCTCCAAAATTTTTGACCTGAGCAGTTGGAAGGATTGAGTTGCTCTATTAGCCTGCCTAGGCTGTCATAACAAAATACTGTAGACTGGGTGGCTTAAACAACAGAACTTTATTTTCTCACAGTTCTGGAAACTAGAAGTCTAAGATCAAGACACCAGCCAATTCCATTCTTGGTGACAACTCTCTTTCTGGCTTGTGATGCCTGCCTTCTCACTAAGTCTTTACATGGCCTTACCTCTGAGCATGCACATGGAGAGAAAATGATCTGTCTTTCTTCTTATAAGGCGGCCAGACCTATCAGGTTAGGGCCCCACCCTTACTTCCTCATTTAACCTTAATTATCTCTAAAAGGCCGTATATCAAATACAGCCACATTGAGGGTTAGGGTTTCAACATACAAATCTTGTGGGGGACACAATTCAGTTCATAACAGTTGTCAACAAACAGGATGGGAAACACCATGGAAGTTTTTTTGTTAGGTGTTATTTGGAGTATATCAAAAGTTTTGTTTGGCCATGACATGTCTATTGACATCCCATTGGCTCTGTTAAATAAGAACTTGGAAATAGTAGTCTGGAATTTAGGCTAAATGTCTGAGCAAGAGATATTAATTTGATACTTGTTATCATTTTGATGGTATTTAGAGGTATCTGACTAAATGAAATCACCAAAGGAGCGAGTATCCATAAAGAAGGGCAGACATTCAAAGAATGAGCCATGGAGTACTCCAAATAGTTGGGGAGATGGGGAAGAATCAAGAGACAAACAAAAAAGGAGAGACTAGTGAAGAAGAAGAAGAAGAAGAAAGAAAAGAGCATGTGGTACGCTGGAAACCAAGGGAAGAAAGTGATTCTCGGAGGAAAGCATGATCAACTATGTCAAATGCACTGAGAAGTCAAGTAAAATAAGGTATTGAAATGGAAAACTTGATTCAACAACATGAAGGCATGAGCAGTTTGAAAGAGTGAACTACCAGAGCAGTTTAGGTAGAGAAGCAGAGGCAAAAGCCTTCTGAAGTAGGTTGAAAAGAACAGAGGAACTGAAGACAAATTTTTTTAGTGGTTTTGTTACAAGAAGAGCAGAGAAATGGGGCAGTATCTGGAGAGGGAAGTGAAGAGAAAAAAAAGATCCATTTTTATTTTTTGTTTTATGGTGGAAGAAAAAACATCATGTCTGTATGTTGATGATAGTGAGCCAACAAAGAGGGGTAAAATAATACAGGAGAGAGGGAGTTACTAAAATAAAGTCTTTGAATAGGCAAGAGCACGAGATCTAGTCTAAAATGGAGGAGGTGGCCTTAGGCCTAATTTCAGAGAACTCATCTATAGTAATTGGAAGGAAGACAGCATACATGAATTCAAACTATAGTAGACAAGGAAATTTGGTAGTGGAACTTGTGAATGTTCTCTTTTGATTTTATCTATCTATTTTTTCATGAAATAAGGAGCAAGGTCATCAACTGAGTGAGAATGGGCAGGAAGTCTTGGAAATTTGAAGAGGGAGGAGAAGCTATAAGAAGAAGATTGAGAAGGTGAATGAATTAAAGAACTTTATTATGATTACCAGTCAACAATAACAGGCACCTAGAAGTTGTGATCAAGTATGGCTTTCTCTGGATGTAAGAACAAAGTGGATAGAGAGTTATATTTGCTTTGAATTGATGTTTTTCCAAGAAAGGTACACTAAAGCAAGGGCAGGACGAGAGAGCTAATGGTGTATGAAAAGAGAGATTATAATAATTGTTCACAGAATGTGAGCTGGATAAAGAGGACAGTAAGAACTCATAGGGAGTTGGGAAGGGTTCAAAGTTAGTAGGATTAGTAGACTATAGGTGTTCATGAGGTTAAATAATTGTTAGAATCAGGGTAGCAGAGGGAGGTTGGAAGGTGAGTTGTTTGTAATACGGATTATTAGTAATATTACATTTTATCTGTGGCCATGGGAATGCGTAGCTAAAACAGAGTAAAGAATAAGCATATAGGAAAAACGGAGTCAAGGAAGTGAGAGGACAAGACATAGAAAGGGTCTTCTATGTGGACATTGAAATCACCAAGAATTGAGAAAGCAGTGGTTTGAAAAAACGTAAAGTGGGCCAGAGGATGAAATCTGTGATGATTAATTTTATGTGTCAACTTGACTGGGCTAAGGCATGCCCAGATTAAACATTATTTCTGCTTGTGTCTGTGAAGGTGTTTCTGGATGAGATTACCATTTGAATTGTTGAATTTGGTAGAGCAGATCCCGCTCCCCAATGTGGGTGTGCATTATCCAATCCTTTGAGGACCTGAATAGAAGAATAAAGGTGGAAAAAGGAGGAATTTGCCTCCTTTTGCTACCTACCTGCCTGCTTGAGTTGAGACATCAATTTTCTGCTGCCTTTGGACCAGGATTCACACCATTAGCTACTGGGTTCTTAGCCTTCAGACTTGGATTGGAATTACACCGCCAGCTGTCCTGGATCACCACCTTGCAGATGGCAGATCATAAGACTTTTCAGCCTCCATAACCACATGAACCAGTTCCTCATAATAGATCTCTTCCTATATATATAACCTATTGGTTCTGTTTCTCTGGAGAACCCTGACTAATATAAAATCTTTACATGAGGAGGGGGAGTAATTTGAGCGACACTAGATGACTAATTGGACATGTAGTGGGAGGTATATTATGACACAAAAGTCCACACTGATGAAAGTTTGGAGAGAGACACAAAATGATCTGAAGCATCAATAATGAGCAAGGGAGATTCTTAACCGACCTCCAGGTTCAAAGGTACAAGGGGTATAGAAAAGAAAAGAGGCAAAACTTAAAACAATTATAGATAAATCCATATCTTCAGCTTGGGGGAGCTAAGTTTTGAACATCATAAGGAATAAAAGGCACAATAAGATTAGTCTTCATAGTCTCAAGGCATATAATGGTGCTGAGTTTGGGGCCAGGAAGGCTTTGAAGTCTTGGGGCCTTGAATTCACTCCTATATATTGAGACTTGAAGGCCCCAAAACTGAAGGCCAATATTATTCCAGGTGTATGAGATTCCATTCTGACCACAGCGAGTGTAGTGACATGGGGAAGGGAGGGTTTGCTGACTTTGGAGCTCCTAGAGCTTCCTCTAGATGTCTACTGATCATACTCTTGTCCCAGGCCATGGATGCTAGGGAGATGTATAGAGATCATATGTTCCCTCTTCTTAATCCCCATCAGCCCTGACAATTCTTGTTTCTGTGCCCCTGTTTATGATTTTTCCTACACATAACAATTCCCCCTAACTCAACTCCAGTCTTAAAACTTACCCACAATTCAAAGCCAAGAATCTCTCAAAAAAATTATTTCTTCATAATTCTTTGATTATGTAACGTATAGGTCAATTTTGCCTATCTTGCTCCTCTTACGTCACTCAGATCCTGGAGCTGAACCTAAGTTAACAGGCACTCAATTAATATTTGAATGAATAAATAAATAAATAGCAATGAACACGGCTATCATTTATATTCCTTTCCTCCTAGAATAGAATATAAATTCTTTGAGAGTGTTTTATCTTCCACTCCTGTTTTTCCACCAGTGTCTTTCACAGACCTTCAATAAGTTCTTGTTGAATTGATATATATTCTCATCCATTAAGCATATGGTGCTGATAAGTTTGGAGATTCAATAAAGTAAAACAAGCATCTGCAGCATTTCAATTTCAAGCACTGAAAATCAATTAGGGTTATGCCTATAGGGTTCACTTTTGCCACGTAAGACTCATAGCTACATGGAGACACCAATAACCTATTTTCTAATCTGTAGCTCCTCCTTCAATATGATCATTTTCGTATATTGGAAAACACTGGTGTTAGCCTAATTACACATAGAAAGCAACTTCCAGAAATTGTGACTAGATCATAAACTGGAAGGCATGTGGAAAAATAAATGAACTATTCACCTCGATGAAGGGGGACAATAGATCAGGACTTCTTGGGCTACAAAAAAAAGAATTTCAAAGATGAAGTTTCTTAACAGACAAAGCCTTGATTTTATTGTCCCAGGTTCAACTTTGGAAACCATGAGGCGGAAATCTTACCTATCTTGGATCTCATAAAGATGAATTAGTGCCAGCCAGGGATTCTGATTCTGAATCTGCCAGCTTACTTGAAATGAAAAGACCTGAAAATATCATCTCTAACCGAATGAACATTCCACTCTTAAGTATGTATTATTGCACTAGCTTTCCAACAATTACTTCCATTGCCTTGAAGAGCAATATTTAATGTCATGGGAATGATATTTCCAAACTACTAAAGTGATAACATTATAATTGTTCAACTCATGACACACTGCTTTTGATCTAAAGGCAATAATCATGTACATAGATGCTTTGTACGTCAATACTCTGCCTGATTAAAAGAACAATCCAGTCACAGTCTTGGACAAAACTTTGGGGATTCAATATTTGTTCCAATAACTTGTTCCAATAAAAGAATATCAGCTATAGAAAAGTATTAAGATGAGCCGGAGGATAAAAAAATTGAGGAAGCCTGAAGAAAAAAACTACAAAAAGTTTGACTTTGCTTGTCTTTCTACACAGCAAGAACCATATATCATGATCATTACTGAATTTTAGGGTTACACAAAATAAAAGAAGTATCCAAGGTAAAAAGAAAAAAAGAGTTGTAATCACCAGTAAGTAAATTTTTAGGTGTTTTCAAGTGAGAAGAGATAGCAAGCCAATTAAGTTCAGATCAAGTCTCCATATTGTCTGATAACGTACTGTTGCACCATGCTTTGCACAGCATGAACTGAAAGTCAGTAACAATTCAAATTCAGATTTTTATGGAGGTTTTGAAATATATACTAATGAATCGCCTCAGCAAGTGATACAATAGGGATGATACATTTTGGTGGATTCCACGTAAATAGACAATTAGCTTCAGAAACTGGCGTTAACTGCTATATCAGCCAGTGTTGAGTTTACCAAAGGAAGTGGATTCCTGAGAGATCAGCATGGTATCTATATAAATCATGTAGAATAGAAAGAAAAAAAAGACTATTATGGGCATGTTATTTTTTTCTAGTTTCTTCTTCTCCTAAATTATAAAACATATTTTTCAAACACTCAAACAAACACAATTTGTCCTTATAAAACCCACAAATTCATAGAGTGAATCCCAATGTAAACTAATAAATGGCAATACATGTTAAATGCTATTATAGTGAATCAAAATTTTGCTGTGGAAGCAGAGGAAGGAACAATTGAAAAAAAAATAACAAGAGAATAGGGAGGAAATGGCACTGTAAGCTAGAGAGTTAATTTCTAAAAGGCTTAATAACATTTAAAATATAAGCTTTGCCTCTTTCAATTTGAAGATAAGCTAAAAGGTTCAGTCTATGCCTGAGAGATGCATGCACAAAAGCCAGTGGACACTTCCTCTCCCTTCTTTTGTTTTGGAATTAGCTCAGAAGCAATCCTTTATATGTGAACTTTTTTCTCTCCCCATTGAAATAAAGAAGGAGGGAGAGTGAGCAGTTGTGTTTCGTTTTTAGATTTAGACTTTCTCAGCATGGATTTCATCTTCCTGCTTTGCTGAACCAGGCTGATTTGCTCAAGTTAAAGTTAGAAAGTGGCTGAATGGAAGGATTTCTTCTCAAGGTAAATGCCTGAATAAATCAGAAGGTTTGGTGCCATTCTTTCCTTCTTCAAATACCTACTCTTTCTTATAATCCTTTTGTATAAGGGATCTACTAAGATTTTAAACTCTGGCTGAATATAGATTCAATAAATTAACTTTTCTCTAAATAGTCCATGAAAAAAATGCAACAAATAGATAATTGTTAATGTGAGAATAAGGGTGAATTTATATGATGAAGTCCTCACTGAAATATTCTGTTCAAAATGTATTTACTACTTAGATTGTTTACTCCTTGATTCTCAATAAGCTAAAGAAAACAGCCAAAATTCTTCCACTTCTCACTGATTGATTAAAATGGTATTTACCTTAGCAAACAGAGTATTCTATCCTGCATATTATCATTTTGAATAATGCACTAGAATTATTTGGGCACTGTCTTTATCTTATTAATTAAACCCCACCATTTTAGTTAACGTCAATAATGTTCCAATATAATAGAGATTATTTCTGATGTCTGTCATTTAAATTGTCAATGATTTAATATAACATAGGACAATCTTGTACCTCAGTTGCAGGGAATAAGTAGGACAAGATGAAGATCCTAATCCTGACTGTGGCCATCTTGAATTTTGTCTCTCACTTCCCGGTAAGTTTCAGTATTTTGGATAACCATATCATAATGGAACTAAAAATTACATGGAGGGAAAAAAATGGATTTAGATCACCAGGATATGTTTAATGCAGGATAACATAAACAAACAAATGCTAAACAAAACATCATCGTGTTTCTAGGATCGCCCAATGGCATAGTGGTTGGGTTTGTGTGCTCTGCTTCAGCAGCCCAGGGATCACCAGTTCTGATCCCTGGTGAGGACCTATGCACTGCTTATCAAGCCATGCTGTGGCAGGTGCCCACATATAAAATAGAGGAAGATAGACACAGATATTAGCCCAGGGCCCATCTTCCTCAGCAAAAAGAGGAGGATTGGTGGTGGATGTTAGCTCAGGGCTAATCTTCCTCAAAAAAAAAAACCCAAAAAGCCATCATCATGTTTTAATTATTCTATTTTCTATTTACAAACTTCTTTCATTTAAAATTAATCATATACATAATGAAGTAAAGATAACAGAAGTTATAATGCATGACAGTATAGAATTTGAAGGGGCTTCTCTATACTTCTTATACTGTAAAAGATTCCTTTCTGAAAGTTTGCCATGGGACCTCTGGGTTTATACTTACAGAGGGCACTTAACCCTAACATATTAGCTGCTCCTTTTCACATCGATATTGTGCATTTCTAACTTGATTAACTTAACAACCTATCAATAAAGAGGAAAGCAGAGACCTTCAGAATGTTGCTTTATTTGATAAATTTAATGCTGTGACTATTGATTTCAGGCTTTTTAGTAAAATATAATCTGTAAGGGGAACCTCACAAAAATGTTGTAACTTCTTTCCCTTTAGTTTAATGGGAGCCAGGAAATACATAGTTGGGCAAATCAACATTAGTCTGCCAATCCACCTTTGTCCTCATGAGACAGCTGCATAGCAAGTCGCTCTCATGCATCCTAAGAACAAAAGAAAATTCTGCACCTGCAGACACTTCAAATAACCGCCCTGAGTCTCTTGATAGAGTAACAAGGCTCTCTGGACCTTTTTCAGAGAGAAACTACTCAGAGACTCTTCAAGCTAGAATATATAACTTTCTTTCATTTGGGGATTATGTACCATGTAACCTTTCGACTAATCAGACTTCAGCTAACTTTGCTTATGATCAGGGTACAGGAGACAACTCTACTCAGGCAGAGGCACCAAAGAGCAATGCCTCACCTTCATCTGCTGTTATTCAAGATACTCCTGCTGTCAGTACCACAATTTCCAGATTTGTACCCAACTCCAGATTAATACAGAGCAGGATGACTATTTCTGGGGAAAATAACATATTAGCACCTCTACCCGTGACCACAAACCAGTATAAGTCTGATTCCATTGCTATTCCCCACTTTCAGACAGACTCCAAAGAAACTCAGAATCTTGAACACTTCTTCCCATCCACTGCAAGATCTAAACTATTCTTTGCCCTAAATCCTGCTGCATACATCCAAAACACTAAGAATGAATTCAGTGCCTCTGCAGATGAGAGTGCCATTACTAAATCAAATGCAAGCAAACTCTTTGAAACTTATACCACTACTCATGAGGAAGAAGCAGGACCAGAGAATATATCGTTTACCGGTACAACCCTTATGAAAGAAGACAGTACAGCAAAAACTGATGCCACAGACATTCTAGAAGATTATACAACTCTGCTTGATGTTCCTGACATGAAGGACAAACACATAATTTTAACTAATACTACTTATCTGGAAAGATATGGCAAAACTGTGAGCAATGCTCCTGATCTTCCACAGAAAGACAATTCTATTATAATCAATGCCACAGACATGAAGAATCACGGCAGAACTACAGTTAATGCTCAAAAAACTAACATTTCCTCTGCAAAAAACAGCAATGACTTTCGATCTATTCCTAATCTGAGTACTTACAACAAGGCTGATACCAAATCTATCATGATTGCCAGTAACATTGATGAAACTATTTCCAATATCAATCCCATTAACACCACAAATTCTTTTCTTAATTATATAATGTATAAGAAAAGCAATAATGTTATTAGTAATTCCAATGATACCAAAACAATTTAGATATAGCTAAAAATACTATGCATGTGGAGGATTTAACTATTTCCAAAACAAATCACATCAATTCTACAAAGCATTATGCTAACCCTAACCCCATAGAGCCAATGACTACCTCTAACATTAACTTTAAAATAACTCAGCCTTCAAAGGAAGGTGCAATAACAGAAGGCAGACACATTATTCAAATGGAGAATATCACAACAACCAACAATAACAATATCGCTGACGCAATTGGATCTAAAGTAGACAATTCAATAATTAAGTACCTTTCTAACATTCCTGCCAATGAACATCTCAAAACCGATAGGAACAATTTTAAGTCTGTGAACACTGATGGAATTGAGAATGTTATTCCTGTGGTCCAAGAAATCGCAAATATAGACCAAGATGATGGAATTGCAAAGGAAGTCATCTTCATTCATCCAGACACTTCCACAATAGAAAGTGAAAGAAAAGCTTACTCTCTCAGCCCTGATGCAGATTATGCCCAAACAGCAGGAAACAAAATCATCCTCTCTTCTTACACCCCTGTTATATTCAACCCCCTATTCAAATATAAAATAAAACCCTTCACAATGGACAGCACAAACCTCATTAACAACAGAGGTGACCAGAGAACCCCCACCACAATTACTGCAAATGATGCCAAAGCCAGAATGGATGTTGAAAGAGCTACTGTGTTTAAAACAGCCACTTTCCAGAGCAATATCACCCCTGTGGTTTCCATTGGCCACCCGGTAACTGTTGGATCTGTCCATTTCAGGGAAGACAGTGTAGCTGACAAGACCTCAGCTTCAAAGGTCAGTATCACCCCTTCAGAAAAATCTACTGACTCTGTGGATGAAGTCATTAGTCTCTCTACTAATGACAACCATGCTGATGGTGGTGCAGGTCTCAACTCTGAAACAGATTTTCCTATGAACAAAGAATATATTCTCCTCTCAGTAGCTAAATCATCTACCCTAAGCCCAATGCCCAAAATAATCAAGCTCAAAACTCCCTGCTAATTAAAGGCAATTCCTTGACTGGTGCTTGGGTATCAGATCCTGTGGCTGAAAATCCTCGTCTTGTTAATGATGCCATTACACAAAAATGGAAAATCAATAAAGTATCAGCAGATCCTTTGAACATTCCATTGGCATCTACTTTCCTTACAGCTGATGTCACCTCTCCCAATGATGAATACAATACCACTCCCAGTGCAAGTAAGGGGACCAAAAATATGACTGACAGCTCTGAACAGATGATTAACAAGGCCACCATGCCAGAAGGAAGGCCTACTGTAGCTATTATCTTCCTGCCTGCAAAGACAATTAGTATTCTTACACCAAGAAAAAGATTTGGAAATTTGATAGACAAAGGAATGGCTAATGAAGAAGAATCAGCTCTTCGGCTAGTGGAAGAAGGTGATGTTTTTAAGATAAAAGAAAACCTTCCACCCGCACATAATATCAAGTACTTTGAATCAAGAGACAGTGGCTTTGAAAGGAATGCACTTGTGGCTATTGATAACACAAAGTCTCTCTCCCAATTAAGTAGTAGTATACCTTCTGCTGAAGTAACAATAACTGACAGAGGCCTTACCATTCCTGGGGAAGAAAATGTTGATGTTCTATATGATGTCACTAAATCTGCAAATGACAAAACACATTTTAAGACAATGGCCACCAAAACAATAGTTGATGGTTTGCATGAAAGTGAAGCTGTGAAACAGAACGTGGAAGCAGCAGACAGCACTGAACTCCTTCCACTTAGCAATTCTTTCTTCCAAACTGGAAGAATGGATGACCATATAAACCCTAATTTATACTACAATGTAATCACTGATAATCTACTTACTATCACCAAAAAGAACCCAAATGTACCTCAGAACATCAGGAAACATAGACTATCACTCTCCACAATGGAGGATGCAGATCTTACTGACCACAGAAGTGGCTATCAAACCCCTGCTGCCATCGCTTCAAACAGTGCTAAGAGACTGGCCAATAAAGGAGAAAGGGCTGAGACTGAAATGACACATGTCTCTCTTGGCATTACTACTGTGGCTGATGATATTTCCTATGAACATAAAAACACTGAAGTTGTAACAGACTTGGCTTCCATAGCTGCCATCTCGCCCAGAAAGAAAGGCATTCTGACCATGAATGAAGTTAATACTCTTAACAGTAAACCTAATAAACTAGGAGATGACTTTGCCATTTCCAGAGATGATCCCAATGTGTCTAGAGATGATGGCACTCAATTAGTAGCTGATTACTCTACCTTTATGAAGTCTCTTGCCTCTTTCAATCATCCCCAAGCAACAAACCCTGTAAAAAAGACCTCTTTGGCAGATATTATAATACTAAAAACTTTTCATTATAAGTCTATCCCAGCAGCTTGCCAGTAGCTGACACCACTGATCCTCAAGGAGAAGGTGATACCATGTTTTATATCCCAAGACACGAATCTGAAAACACTTTCAGGGAAGCTATAACATTGAACTATGAAGCAGACACCCCAAAAGACACTGGCATTACGGCAGAGGAAGAAGATGTACTTGAAGACAATAGGAGGGATCATATTTATGGCATACCTATTGCAGGTGATAATGTTCCTAAGGGAAACAGTTTGGCAGCTAAACATTATTTTCTTAACTCTGATGCATATAACTCCAACAGAATCAAAGGAACACCCAAAATCACAATTGAACAACTTGAATTTGAGAATCCTACATCATCCTATATGGCTGAAGTCTCAAAACCTCCACTTGGAAAATTTACTCCTGAGTTTCAAGGAAAAATGATGATGATACAACAAAGTAATAGTGGTGCTGAACATAATGCATTCTTTGGTGGTGATATTCTTCCTCTGATGATGAAAGAAAATGTCCCAAAAGGATATATCTTTTTGCCTGAAAGAAGATCTACCTTGACAACACCAGATTTTAGGATTCCAATGAAAGATAATATAAACTTTGCTCTGGAAAGGACTGCGTTGTTAGATAAAGGAACTTTCAGCAAAAACTATGCAACCTATACTGATGAGCAAACTGATCCATGGGCAGACAAAGACCAAACTGCTACAGGTAGCATAACAAATTCTCCTACAGGTGTTATACCTGTGACCTACTCCCTTCCTGTCTCCTCTGAAGAAATAAATGTGGAAAATTATTATCCTGTGTCTGGAATAGGTACTC